TCAATAGCAGCTCTAATAGGAGGCCATGAGTGAAGACTCTCTCTTTTACACTCCTCTCGACAGGATATAATGCAGCCGTTGCTTTGCTCCTCCCCAACATAAGCGCATAGTCACACCTAACCGCAACTTCCTGTACCCAGATGCCACTTCATGCTTTGCAGAAAGGCAGAGATGAACATCAGCATAACGTCATGCCTAATATATCCTACACGCATCTTGTTTTTCTGTCTTGCTTTACACGTTACAAAGGTGACCAAATGAAGGGTCACACAAGAAAAAGAGATGGATCTTTTCTGTAGCGCCTCTCGAGAAAAATCACGAGGCGCTTCACAAAAACAAAAAATTTAAAATATAAACGAATTTAGAAAATGATTAAAAATATGTTTAAAATAAGCTAACAGACAGTTGTGATTAAAAATGTAAAGAAAGAGAGAGAGTTAAGAGGGAAATCAGTGGATCCTGAGGAAGGTGAAGTAGGTGGGGAGAGCAGAATAGGGAGATGGTGGTGAAGGTCATATAAAAACCAGCTTGAACAGGTGAGTTTTCAGCTGCTTTTTGAAGGAGACCACTGAGTCCACTGATCTCAGGCTCAGGGGGAGAGAGGTCCAGAGTCTGGGGGCCACAGCAGCAAATGATCTGTCACCTTTGGTCTTTAGCCTGGTGCTGCACAACCAGTAGGCTTTGATCACTGGACCTCAGGGACCTGCTGGGGGTGTAGGGACTGAGAAGATCACCAATGTAAGATGGTGCTTGTCCATGTAAGGCCCTTTAGACCAGAACCAGGATCTTGAAATGAACCCTGAAGTTGACTGACAGCCAGTGAAGCTGGAGACAAGAGGAGGTCTCATACATCAGAACTGTGTGTGAGAAGTGAATCCAGATGTAATTTTTTTTTTCCGTAACCTGTCGATGTATTCAAACAGTAATGTTTCACATATTTACCTTTTGACTCATCTTGAGCTAAGAAAACAGAATGCTCCCTATGTCACAAATAAGGACGCACCAAAAATTCGGCCACCAAAATTTTTCGGCCGAAATTTATCAAATTCTAAACTCTAAAAATTTCAATAGAAACACCCGGTGTTAATAACTCATGAAAGAATAAAGTTACATTCAAACCAAGCACACCATTGTTTTTCTTGTGAAATTCTCAATAAGTTTGATGTGTCACAAAAAAAAAAACTGAAGTTGGATCCAAGATGGAGACATGTACATATGTAGCCTGGCCTGCCAGACCTCCTCTGTTTAATTTTGCACAGAGACAGAGGATGTTTCTTAATGCCAAGGAACCTTGCCTTGATGTCTTGGCCTCTTTTGCCCCCTTTGCCTAGGATATACGTCATCAGGAGCCACCAAGACGTGTTCCAATGTTCATGTTCTACCAAGGCGTGTGTTCTCCGTTTGTTCGCCGTTTAGCTAGCTGAGCGAGGATACATGGGAGGTGTCTTGTAGCCTAGCCTTGGTTAAAAATTACCCAGAGTACACCGCAGTATTTTCAAAAGGAAGCCGGCAGCTACTTCGGGGGCAAATTTCAAGTTTAAAAGTACGTCAACTAATTTAAAATGTTTTTTTAGATCCAATTAAGTTATCTATTTGGTTAGTTGCTGAGTAGTTGCAGCTCTGGTGGCTAGCGGGTAGCAACTCAGTTATATATTTAATTTAACAAATATATACACAATTTAAAAAGTAAAAGGCCCGTTATGTATTTATATTGAAACTAATATGTATAAAATATAATGTTAGCTCCCGTGTCACGTGACGTTACGTGACCACCGTGGAAGCTGTGGTCATGTGATGCAAGTATGTTCGATGTAACCATTTTCTTTGACCAAGGAAGGACAGTGTCCTCGTAAGTAAGGCTCCTGGCCTCGCAAGACATCGCCTTACAAGGCCAGGAGCCTTGACTTTGAGAAACACCCAGGGTCTGGGAATTCCCCTATTCAAATAACCCTACCCCGTGAGAAGTATAACCGAGCCAGTCAGTGCTGAATAGCGTACGTCACACACCATAACGCCGTTTATGTTTATCATAAACATGGTGACTGAAGCGGAGTTCGCTGCGGCTCTTTCCTCTGCTCTAAATTACTTGGACACGTCTTTAAAACCACAAATAGAAGCACTAAAAGCCTTTCTTCTAAAGAAAGATGTTTGCGCCGTCGCCAGACGCCATTTTTGACTACAGCGTCGTGGACGTCACACACAGAGACGCTCAGTTTCTCATAAACAATGAAGACAGCGGCGGAGTTCGCTGCGGCTCTTTCCTCTGTTCTAAATGACTTGAATGTCTTCAAAACCACAACAAGTAGAAGTGCTTAAAGCCTTTCTTCTAAGAAAATAAAAATAAAAGATGTTTGCACCATTGCCAGACGCCTTTTTTGATTACAGCTGAAAAACTACAGCGTCGCGCGGTACAGTCAGCATTTCCGTCTTTTTTCTGATTGGTTATTTTGAGCTGCCTAGTCCCGCCCCTCATGTGCCTCTCTGCCTGTGAGTAACCAGACTCTTTCTCTGTGCAGAATTAAACAGAGGACGAGCCTGGCAGGCCAAGCTAGTACATATGGTGAAGATCCAGTAAAACTACCCAGAAGTTCTGATGGAGGAAACGGGCCTAATGAGATGATGTCGCATGCAAAAGCTAGCCAGTTTATAATTTTGTTTTGTCACACTTTAGAAAACAAAGCCTGGACCAGGGGCATTCACCTCTGGGCCTGGAGGGCCTGTATCCAGTACGTTTCAGTGGTTTCTCTGTATTAACCCACTTGATTCAGTGGATGAATCACCTGTACAGCAGCTCATCGGGCTCTGCCAAAGCTCTCTAATCAGCTGCTGATTGAGATTAGGTGTGTGAAAACAGGGTGAAAACTAAAACGTGCTGGATAGTGTTCCTCCAGGCCCTGAATTGAATACCCCTGGCCTAAACCATTCAGTTTTTAAAGAACTGTTTAGAAGTCTTAATTGCTTCACTCCTACACCTGACGCGTATTTAAAACCTTCTGCATACCCACACAGACGACACTCTCTGAGAACTGAACTTGTATTCAGCAAAAAGCTTCACCTCTAAACATTTATATCCTTCTGTCGGGTGTTTACTTACCATTCCAACAAAAATCAAAAGGGTAGAAATTAGGGACTTTCCGGTCATGTTTTTTTGCTCCTGATCCGATTCAGAGTCGTTTTATTTTAAGAATCTGCCGATACCAAGTCTCGATCCGTTACTTTAGAAATGCATTAAGATGAATGGAGAACACACACTAGAGTTGTCTTTTAAGTTACCTAATGCATTTCTTTTCTGTATTTATGTCATGTCTGTAGTTTATTTGCCATAAAACCTCATTAGTGTAGGAACTACATTAATAAGGGACATGTTAATATTAAGAATAAATGTAAAAGTTGCCTTGTTGTCGCTTATATCTTAAATGGTTTACTGAGTGTGTGGCTGTTTGCACCAGTGAGGATTACACGGCACATAACGGTCAGCAGCAGGACCACTTCTTTCTACAAAACACCCATAGAGCTGCTGCGTCTGAAGGTAGGAGGAGAAAGCAGATCACTCCGCAACTCAAGGAGCCTGCAGACCCGATGTTTGCACCCACAGACGCTGTGATAAATATGCTGCTGTCTTGTTATTTTAGCGGTCTGTGACTATTTCTTGGTTTCTTAATGTATCTTTTAGTGTTAGCTGGCTTAGCTGAACTGCTACAGCGAACTGAGCAGGGTCAGTTTTTTTCCACCTCGTTAAATGCACTTTGCACACATTACACACGTTTATTACACTTCCTTTGTTGTTCATTTAAAAACAACATTACAGACATTTTCTCTCTCTTGGCAGAGAAACATAACTACCTTAAATTGTGGGACTTTACGACGTTATCTGTCAAACAAAGAATCCTGATGTAGCCGAGCATTGCTTTTCCGTTTGAAAACCTCCATCTCAGGAGGAATTTCAAAAGTAATGATTGTTGTTTTAAATGGTTAAAACTGATTTTTCCCACAGATTCTGATTTCCTAAAAGTCTCGCAGTCGAACCGAATTAACGATCACGTGATTCAACCGGCTGTGATAGCCATCCCGAATTGGGTTGATCCCAAATGTTATTCAGCTGTGGATGTACATCCTCCCTTTATAAAAAGTTCCAGTCATATCATCCAGTGTTTTTTCTTTTATTACGCATTTTGAGAAAAAAATAATTCTTTCTGTTGCCTGAATGCTCTCAGCAGTTTGATCTCTGCTAAATGCTCAAGAGCAAGTTTTTGAAACCAAAGAATGTCCTTCTGGTTTAACATTGAAAAAAATTAAACAATTATTCTCCGATGTTTTTATCCTAAGTGGGATTGGTGGCTTCCTGTGGATGGTGAACTTCACCATATTATGGATCTGTCTTCTCAATCCCCAGTGAATCATGACTGCTTATACTGAACCAGGATCCTCCGAAGGTTTCTTCCTGTTGAAAAGGAGTTTTCCTCTCCGCTGTCGCTACAGTATGAGGATTGCTGTAAAAACGCTGACACTAGTCCGTGGCTACTGAATTGCATTCAGTTGAACTGAAGCAACGCAGTTGGAGATTTAGGAACGTTCTGGTGACTGTAATTCTGTACCTTGATAAACTACTGAGACACCAGCATGTTTACAGCTGGAATGTTAGATGACCGGAATACCAGGAATCAGGTCTTGGTTAAAAATGAACTGCTTGTTTCTGTCTTTTTTTAGAATTCAAGAAATGAAATGGTCTAATATGGCTAAACGAAAGATTGTTTTCTTGTCTTTGTTTTACTGAATGAGGCCTGTGGAGCTCATGTGAGGTCAGTCCATCTCAGACATCATCCATGTTCAGTACAGATAACAGCTTGTGTACCGAGTATAATCTAAAAGGCTCCGTTTTTTTCTCCTGAAACCACAGAGCAGCTTTAAATAAACACACATTCATCAAAACAATGTTTACTTTCCATTAAAAGTGTAATCTCTCTCTCTCTCTGTCTCTGTCTGTGTGTGTACACACACAGTGTTCCTGACCTGGGTGAACTGTTCCAGTGTGCGCTGGGCGACAAGGATTCAGGATATTTTCACTGTGGGGAAACTTCTGGCTCTAGCGCTCATCATCGTGGTTGGACTCGTCCAGATCTTTAAAGGTAACCGTTTCTGTTCTGCTTTAGTTTGGTCTGAATGTAAAGTTACAAACAATAAAATGTACATGTAAACAAAACAAAATGCTAAAGCCTGTGTTATTCTAGTAGCAAACGTATTCTGTACTGAATGTATGTTGTATTGTGTGGTAGTCTAACTGGGAGATTTTAGTCGAACATTGAAAATGAATTTTATTCGGTAGAAGTAATGATTTCATCAAAATAATCCGGTTCAATCATGTGATCACACTTTGTTGTTCTTTTATGAAAGTGTTAGTGGTTTTATTGTGAATTTCATGATGATAAAAATGAGCTTCCAGTCACTGTTTGCACCACCTCCTCCCATCTGTTTGCAGGTCACTACGACGCCCTCCAGCCCAGTGTGGCCTTTGAGTTCAGTCAGGACCCCTCAGTGGGGCAGATAGCTCTAGCCTTCCTCCAGGCCTCCTTCGCTTACAGTGGTTGGAATTTCCTCAACTATGTTACAGAGGAGGTCGTGGAGCCACGCAAGTATGGTGTTATTCCTCATGAGCTTACATCTAGTAAAGACAAAGGGCCAGACTTTAATACTGGCGACTTACAATCTCATTTATGCCATTTCATGAAAACATTTTATTTATTCAGGATTCACCAGGTTTAAATATTCTTTCATTCATCATCTTAACCACTTATTCATCGGTAGGGTCATGGGGTTTAAGATGGTAGTCACCTTTTCCAGCATCTTCCTTTCACACGTCTCAACTGTATCCAGCTCATGGCTAAAGGGCCAATACACCCAATTTTTCTCTACTCTGACCATCTTTAATCTGCTCTAGCTCAAAAACTACAACAGCCACACTGTTCAAACATGTTCTAGATTATTCTACAATAACAGCAGATGGCATACAACCTTGTTTGGGATTTGTGAAACCTTTCCCTGATTTGTGAAAATTCAACAAAGCCAGATTTATGCGTTTTTTTCAGCATCTGGCCAACGATGGAACAGCTGTTGTTCAAAAACTCCTTTTTTAGTGATGCACCGATATGAAATTTTTGGGCCGATAACCGATATTTGCCAATACCGATATACTGACATTACTGCTTCTAAAATCAGCAGATTTTGTATAGAATGAAATTATTAAAGCTGACTTTACGTTATTATGGACACACAACACACACATTTACGGTTCGTAGATGATTTAATTCACTGTTCACATGACTAAACAATCACACATCACCCCCCTCACCCTCTGAAACCGGCAAACAAATGGAGACAAGATGGAAAAAATATCGGTTGTTAATATCGGCCCGGTTTTATTTATTAAACCGATACCGATATGTTGAAAAACAGATATTGGTGTCGTTATATTGTCCATCCCTCCTCCCTTTGGTGCATTTTTCTAACAGCAGGTGTGGGAGGAGTAAGACTCTGGAAGAGCGGTGTCTTGCTCAGGTAGATCAAGATTCAAAAGCTAGTTTCTTGAGACTCGTTTATAAGGTGTTTAAGGGTTTTGAACTCGTCTATATTCAAGTCTGACTTTTTTTCTGGTTTAGCTCAGAACTCATTTACCTTTTGGAGGAACACTCTTAACGTGTGTGTGATTCTTGTCCTCATGAGGAACCTGCCCCGTGCCATCTACATCTCAATCCCTCTGGTGACCCTGGTCTACACAATGACCAACATTGCTTACTTCACCTCCATGACTCCAGAGGAGCTGCTCAGCTCCAACGCCGTGGCGGTGGTGAGTTATCGTCTCCCTGTTTGTGAACAACTGTTGTCTTTTATTCTTCGACTTGTTCAGAGGTGATACTGATCTGTCTTTAAACTGATCTAGTTTGTTGTGTTCTCATAGACGTTTGGGGAGAAACTGCTGGGCGTGTTTTCTTGGGCGATGCCAATCTCTGTGGCTTTGTCCACTTTTGGAGGCATTAATGGATACTTGTTCACGTCCTCCAGGTGAAAACACCTTGCTGTGCGCAACTTGCCAAATCACAATAAACAAACAATGCCACAAAAATATTTTACAACAATTTAGGCAGAAGTGTGAAAACAATAATTGTGTTTGCAGGTTGTGTTTCTCGGGAGCCAGGGAAGGTCATCTGCCCTATCTGCTGGCTATGATCCACCGGAAAAACTGCACACCCATCCCTGCCCTGCTGCTCTGTGTGAGTGGGGCCCGACTATGTGACCGACATGTTTTTCATGTTGCCTTTTCAAACGGCATTGTTTCCCTTCTGCCACACACACACCTGACTTTAATGAATGAGTGATTAACAGGCATCTGCAGCACTTGATGTCCTCCTAAGGAGGCAATGCAGATATGTAAATCAGGTGTGCTGAAGCAGAGACATGAGGGTCCTGAGGACCAGAATAGGGAAACTCTTAAGCCGGGCGTACACTGTGCGACCTTTTCACTCACAGCGTTCAGCTTCAGCTCAAACTGTACGACTTCATCGCAGGGCAGATCTCGCGAGTCATGTGCTCACACTGTACGACCCAGTTCTCGCATGCGACCTGACTGCTCACACTGTACGTCTGGTAGCGACATGTCGGCCCTAAAAATATGCTAAAGATAGCTGTTTTCACACAACACGTCAGACTTTTTTGTCTTGTTTTGCCTGTTGTCCTTCGGGAGTGCTGCAGGAGGACACACAGAGATTTATGGGGGTTGAATGAGGAAAACGAAATAAAGGAAGTAAATCTGTGTTTTGTGATCAGTTTAATTTGACATGAACACGACAAACACGCTTTCTTGACAATCTTTGTGAGTAAAAAAACACGTAGAAACAAAAACGAACAGCGTGGGTTATTAGGGAAATAGCGAGTGAGTGGCGTTGATGCAGGATTGCACGCGCATGCACCGTGAGCGGTTCTGATACTTTTTGGGTCGCAGCTGCTCGCAGCACTGCTTCAACAGTGCGATACCCTCACGAGGGACGAGCGAAATATTAAACACGCCAGAAGTCCGTGCGACCTCACGATTGCTGATCGGCAGCTGGTCACGTGGTGTTAATCGCCTCTCGTAACCCCCTGTACACTACACGACCGCTCGGCGCAAAACTCGCCCCGATCTCGTGGATTCTTGCACGACTGGAAAATCGGCTCAAAAAAGTTAAAAAGTCGCACAGTGTACGCCCGGCTTTATCAAGAGGGTGAGAAATGTCCCTTTCTTTCCTCCCATCTGTATGGCTGGACAGAACAGGGGCCTCATTTATCAAGCTTGCTTACGCACAGAACGGGGTCGCAAAACTGCGTAAGCAACTTTCCACTCAAACTTTGGGATTTATAAAAGAAAATGTAGCAGAAAAAGGTGCACAACTTTAAGTTGACTAAGGACCTGGCTTACGCACATTTTGGACATGGAGAGCACCTGCAGTGCTGCTGCTGAGGATAAAAAAGTGAAATCCTGCAGCATTATCACTTGTACCGCTTCGTGCGCACACAGAACAAGCTTCCTTGATCTGCATTCGCCATGGTTAACTCATTCACTGCCATTGATGACTAAAGTCGTCATTTGCATGTTTTTACTGTGTGGGCATCAAAACGAGCCTCTGCACCGTGAGAACAAACATCTCAGCTCTAAAGCCAATCTTCATTCGCGTACGTCACATGTCACGTGATCAGGAAGCAGAAAATCCATGTGTTAGGAGATCGTTTTGGGCCGCTGCTGTAAAAAAAAAAGTGAGGCGCGAACTGGAAAAGCTTCTGCAACAACAGATTATGAAAGAACGGATAAAGCTCGAAACGCGCGGATTCTTCCTGATGTAAGAGGTGAGTCTCCTTTTTGTTTTGGTTGTTTTGGCATCGACGTCATCCTAGCGCGCAACGTTCTGTGACTCTTAAATAAACAGTAAACGGTGAGTAACGCTGGCAGCGAAGGGGTTTACCGATCAGGAAACTGTTGTCTTAATGGTGGAGTGCTGCAATGAGCCGGCTTATGTATATGCATGAGATCCACAAGGCACTTTGCATTGACCATTTATGGCAGGAAGTGGGCGTGGTGAGGGCGGGATGTGATTCAGAAACACCTGAGAACCTTTCTAGTTTGTCTCTGATTTATAAAGCAGAGATTGCGTGAAGCTGTGCGTACTCCATGTTTTATAGGTCACAAGCCTGCTTGGCATAAGTAAATTATTTTGGCTGAGCTCAAGTACGGTTTTAGTAAGGATTATACATAATGTTTTATAAATGAGGCCCCTGCTCTTGTTCATAAACGCTCACCTCTAGCCAGCCGACAGAGACAGACGAGGTCATCCAACACTCGTAAGCGGATGTCTAACACCACCAGCTAATACTGAACGGTGCTCAATTCAAATAGCAAAACGATGTATTGCCTACATTAGATCACAGTACAGAGTAAAACTACCACGTTTATGGATTTCTAAAACCATACAAAATCTCTGAAAGGGGGAAAATCTGGATTGCTGCTTTGATGTTTGAGCTGAACCTTCATGTCCTACAGTGCATTGCCACCATACTCATCCTGTGTATTGGAGAGACGCACAACCTGATCAACTATGTGTCCTTCATTAACTACCTGTCCTATGGGGTGACCATCGCTGGCCTGCTCTACCTACGGAAGACCAGACCCAACCTGGCCAGACCTATCAAGGTACTCCTGAGATTATTTCATGTTCAACTGATGAATCTCAGTACTAAAATACAGTTTCAGTCACTGACTTGTTGCTACAAGTCCAAAGGACAACAAGTTAAATGACCAGCTGTCTGAGCCAGGACTGATATTAGATTAAAACTCTGATCTCTCCGGACATCTGCATCAGATTTGATCTGCAAACTGGGGAGCATCATTATAAAAGTGCTAACTACAGAGCTTGTGATGAAAAGGTTTCTGCTCATGCATCTCACCTACGTTTACACACTTTCGCTCTTACACATGCATAGATCTTTTCATCTGTAGTGAACCTTCGTCTTAAAACTGATCCAATTCAGTTGAGTTTATTTAGTCGTCTCTAAACATTCCAATACAGGTCAGTTCATTAGGCCAGACAGTAAAAAGTTTCCTCTATAAGGAACCCAACAGGTTGCATCGAGTCACTGACTAGTGTCAGTCTGTACAGCAATCCTCATACTAAGCAAGCATTTAGCGACAGTGGAGAGGAAAACTCCCTTTTCACAGGAAGAAACCTCCAGAGGATCCTGGCTCAGTATAAGCAGCCATCCACCACGACACACTGGGGATCCAGAAGACAGAGCGTGCGCGCGCACACACACACACACACACACACACCAAGTAGTGTTTATATGGTTACATTGTGATTTCTTGGTAAATATTCTATTTGGTGAGAGATGAACTTTATTGTATTTGTCCTAGTGAATCTATGATTAAACAGGTAAACTAGTAGTAGCACATCCAACGTCAAAGAAAGCAAAGTGTTACTATGAGTCATTTCATATTCTGAGCTAAGGTTGCATAAATAAAACCCAGCATGAGTAACTGAACCAGACCCACCCACTCAGTCTTTGGCTTCTTATAACAACATGCATCAAGAGCAGAGGTGTTGTTTTTATGGAAGGAAAACATGTCTGGAAAAATCCTAAAGTTCTCATTAATTTGCAGATTCTTTTGGTGTTTGCACTCGCATATCTTAATCTTCAAACTTTAACCTTCAAACTTTATTGATTAGCATTCAAATATCTCAGTGAAAAACAAAATATTAAAGAAATAAAAACAAAACAAAAAAATTTCATAAAAACTTTACCACAAAGACGAGGCTAATCAAAAGGTATTGGCTGAAGCATGTGCTTATTACGCCAACCCTTCTAACACAGATCTTTCTGCAGAAATCGAGAATCTGCAGAAAATGAAACAAAGCAACAACAAAAAAAGCTAAAAACTTTCCACCTTAAGTAAGTAACTTCATCAAAGCAAAACAATCAAGAGTTTCAGTATTATTATTTTCGCTCTTTTCATTCTTGATTTTTATATTTTTCTAAAACTCTATTTTTAAACATGTTTTTAAACAAGTAAAATGAACTACACCTTTTTTAAGTCGCTGTCATAACTATTCCACAGGTTAACTCCTCTAACAGAAACACATCGCTGCTTTATATTTGTCCTTATTCTGTTTTTGTTAAAGAATTCAGTTCCCCTTAAGTCATATTGACTCTCTCTGAGTTTAAACAGCTGCTGTGTACAGCGGCAAAGCAAGTTATTTTGTGCTTTATACATTATCTGTGCTATTTTAAATTCAATTAAGTCATAAAATTTCAGGGTATTCAGATTAATAAACATAATGTTAGTTGGTTCTATATAGTTAGATTGATTTATAATTCTTATAGCTCTTTTTTGTAACTTGAAAATTGGAAGAGTATTTGTTTTATATGCATTACCCCACATCTCAAGACAATAAGTCAATACAAAATGAATGCATGTGAGGCTGGGGGGGTGTACATTGTCTTGTCTCCCTTCACATTAATACAGCTGTAGCTTAATTTAATTAAATTTATGCTAAATGTAACTCGGCAATTTGTTGTTTTCACTTCAAACCTATTTGTTCAGAGGGAATATTGTACAACTGAGCGCTGCTGATGGAGGACTGATTCTTTTTAGAATAGAATAGAAAAGAATATCCTTTATTGTCACTGTACACACTCGTACAACGAAATTTGGAAGCCACTTCCGGGTGCAAGTTGAAAGAAATACATAACATTTAACAATTAAAATTCAATCAGGACAAATACTTCCCTGTAAGAAATACATAACACTACAATAATTAAAATTCAGTCTGGACAAACCCTTCCTTCATAAATTGTATAAAATTAGAACCATGCAGCTTGTGTGGTTCCATCAGGGCTACACCTGCAAACATTAGATAAGATAAGAACATGTCCTTTCAAATTAGCACGTTCTTTTTGTTGTTAACCGCCATGATAGCCCTGGGAAAAAAAACTAGACAAATAAATGAATAAATCTTTAGATGAATAAATATTTTCTCATTTATTTTAATGGTTCTATTTTATTTTCCCTGTATATTTATTTATGAATTGTCCGTTTTGGCAGGGTCAGTCTCCCATTAAGTATTGTGAAGACTGGGAAATGGTCTGTAATCAGAGGCTGTCATTACAGCTTGGCGCCCTCTAGTGTCGTTAATTAGGAACACGTGTGGAAAGCTAAGAACATTAAAACAAATGTTGTTGAAGGAATAAAAAAGCAATCATTAGTTTAACAAACTGGTTTTCAGGTATCTTCTTAGTTAGATATAACTGTATGTGGGTTGTTCACATGTACCTTCATCAGAAATGTGTGTGTGTGCTGCTGTGTGCAGGTGAACATCTTGGTCCCGATCAGCTACCTGATCTTCTGGGCCGTGCTGCTGGGCTTTAGTTTGTACTCGGAGCCGGTGGTGTGTGGCCTTGGGATGGTCATCATGCTGACCGGAGTCCCTGTTTTCTTTATCGGGGTTCAGTGGAAAGAAAAACCCAGATGGGTTTATCGGCTGGTTGGTGAGTTTGTTGCACAGCGCGCGTGACCTTTTTTCCAGAGTGTTTGTCATCTGATGGACCTTCTGTGATTCCTCCTCTTTGCTGTGTTGCAGAAAAGGCAACGTACCTGGGTCAGAAGGTGTTTTTTGTAGTGTTTCCACAGGAAGACTCCTCAGAGACTGAACCCCTCACTGCCAAAGCCACGGACTGAGCAGCGAGGTCACCCAGGCCGTCTCCACCTGCATTCCTGGTTCTTGTCTTTAGGTTTTCAAATTGTTTATCTCGGCCACCTGTAAAATAAATGGATTCATTTATGTTCTTGCACAGGTGCCACTTGAATGAGTCTGTGGTGAACTCCCAAGTTAAAAAAAAATACTTTTGAAATGATTATGCAAGCAAATTCTGCACTTTGCCATATTTTTATTACTACCGCTGCTGACTTGAGCACTTTTACACTAATTATTCACATAATGTTGCTTCTAAGTCAGCTGTAGAGGTGTTTCTGCTCTGCTTGGCTCCAGATTCTGGGCATTGTTCCATGCATAACATCCTGTTGTTTTTCCTTCGGTCTTTTGCCTTTGGTGCCTTCTATAATATTTGTCTGGTGCGGTTAGATTTGCTGCTCAGAACAGAGATGGATCAACTATCTTAGCTGTATTACTGCCACACATGAAGGCCGGTGGTATGTCCAGTCGTTGACCTCACCTTGTGTTCGTTGCTCTGTGAATGTCACTGTGACCCCTCTAATGATGCTTCGCCAGCCAGGACGTTACTGTTACTACCAGACCTGAGTTTTAACGTGTTTTGATACGGTACTTACCATTAGCGTGTTGTTGCGTAACTTTAATCCACACTGACAGAAAGAAGGGCAGCTGATGCTGGATGTGTAGTTGTGCATCGCAGACTCGCTGATCCTGTTTAAATCAGCCGACTAATGACAGTATCCATGCTGTTGTGTTGACTCTTCACCACTTCTTGTATTTGAGTCTTGTTTGTTGACTTATTGACGGACTACGGTCCAGCTGAAACAGGAAGCTGGGTGTAAATTTTACTGGTCAAACCACCTTTAACGCAGCTGTTGTGCTGCTGCCTTTACCAAGTCTGGTCATTTTGTCCCAGGAGATATTAGCACCTCTGAATTAGCCGTGTGTGTCATGAATCCAACAAAGCAAAACGGGTTTGGGTTTTTAAAGCATGTCAACCAGAAAGTTGGCTCTGGAATGAGACTTATGGTGCCTAAAGGTGCTGGTAGGTTTTTGTGCATCAGAGCCATGAAGAGACCCGTTTGTCTGTCGCCTCCATGCGCTTGCTAGTTCTGACATTTGTAAATACTGTGTAAAGAAAATGAAAAGTGCCAGGACCTCCTACGACCATCACATTCCTCACATGTTGGGAGATCTCCATCCTGTGAGATTTATACGCGCACCTGTCTGAAGTTGTGCAATGATAACAATGTAATTGTTCATTAAAATAGCAACTTCTAAGAAGCAAACTTGTTTCTGGTGATGTTTGAATCTTGTATTAAATTCAGATTATTAAACAAAATGGAGATTTGGAAGAATCAAATGTTATTTAGGCCAGTTTAAAAATGAACAAGCTACTGGTTCATAGTTCCTCAGCTACCTATACCAGCTTCTCTGGTGGGACCACAGGGACTTCCTAAGCTCACCCTGATGTTTAATCTCTCCACCATGTCCTGGTCAGCCTCGGGGTATCCTGCCAGCAGGACATCCCAGAGCAGTTCTACTTCCTGATGTCATCTCTGAGCCGGTGCGCTGCAGAAGATTCTCACTTTGGACACCTTCATTTTCCAATTTTATTTACATTTCCCCAGTAATCTGGTTTTCTGAGATAGTGTTTTGGGTTTTCTTAGCTGCAGCCATAATCATGGTTACGACAAGCAAAGGCTTGAAATATTTCACTCTGTCATAAATTTGTGTGGGTCTAACTTTCTGAAATTAGTGACAAAAACATTGATCTTTTTCACAATATTCACATTATATGAGATTTGCCTGTAGATCTGCCATCCAATGCATTTGTTAAAACCCAAGTTTATCACTATTAGGATAAAGAGTGGGCAAGATTTCCTGCTTGTTGGACGGTGAGAGGAACCATCCACGGAAAGATCGAGCGAGGGAATTTAATGGATTTCCTTTTTACAGGAGTGTCAACTGAAAAAAGTTCATCTACCTTACAGCCCAACTTTGAGGTATTTGGAAAGATATCTAAAAGTAAAGCATTGGGGATATACCTCTTTTATGGAACAGTAGCTCTCTTTCAGGTGGAAAACCATTTTTTATGTCTGATTGGGACAGTACTTGTTGGTAAAACATGACCTACGTGTTTGTAAACTTTCCAAATCATAGCCAAAGGTTTCCATCTGTTATCCCAGGACAAAATCTGGGATAGTAACGTTACAACGCTGAATGTTGGTGGGGAAACATCTATTCTTAATTAGAAATCAATGTTAACATTTATTTTTGTTGGATATTTATCTTCTACAGATCGCGGATACAAGCGACCAAAATGAGTTTCCTCCGTAGGGTGTCCGGGCTCAGCTTTAGAGATAGGGGGAGGAGCTCGGGCATTCGGGAGGGACTCAGAGTAGAACCGCTGCTCCTCCTTTTTTCAGCTAATTTGTTGTATACTACAAGTGAGAGCCCTGCACGGGCCTAAAATCTGAGCCCGTGTCCGGCCCGGCCCGAGGGGGGTGGAGCCCCAGCCCAACCCAGTCCGAGAAGGTTTTCAGGATTCTCCGGCCCGAGCCCGACTTTTTTTTTAACCTTTCATAATGTTTTAGCGTGATAGAATGCTCAGCATTCTAATTATCTGTGAGAAGCGTTCTGCAGTAAAAAAAATTATGAAAAGAAAGAAAAACAGCATTTAATGCAGCTTTTTTTCTAACCGAGCGTATTTTTTGAGCAGCAGATGAAATATACGAACACCGTATTAATTGGATGCGTTTGTAAATTTAATCTGCTCTGAAAATGTGCAATTAGGAAAAAAAAGCAGCATTCTAATTTTCTAACTGCAGAGCGCATTTGCAGAGCGGCAGATTAAATAAACACCCCCAATTAATATAGCTTTTGTAAATTTCATCTGCCGCTCTGAAAATGCGCTCTCCAGTTAGAACAAAAAGCAGCAATGAATGCTGTATTTTTTTAACTGCAGAGCAAATTTATTCACAGAAAAACAGAATGCTTCCGTTTTCATGAGAATAAACCAATGGTTTCTGACATCAAAGTGGACATAAAATGGCGTATTAGAATAGGGGCACATGTTTCAATCAGCAGTTTGAGAATTTGTTTATATAGGCGCATTTATGAACCACACACACCTTAACTGAGCTAACGGTGCTTGAGAAGCAGGCAGGTGCTGCTGCGTTCAAGTGTTTCAGTTTTTTTTAATGAATTTGATTAAAAATAAAGGTGCCCGGCCTGTGTCTGAGGTAATTACACAGTCGTTAGCCCGAAGCCCGACCCGATGGCCTGTGGGCGGGCCGACCCGAGGGCCTAGGGCTTCAGTGCAGGGCTCTAACGCCTTGGGGTCCTGCAGGAAATGGTGGAGGTGGCTGGGGAGAGGACGGTCTGGAGCTCCCTAGTTGGGATGCTGCCCCCGCGACCCGGACCCGGATAAGCAGAGGAAGACGACTATCTTCTACAGAATAAGGTGTGCTTGTAAGGCCTATGGGGTCCCCTGGAGGTTAGGACGGAGTGAGCACCCAGTGTCCAGCTGGTTGCCAGATGCACCCAAAAGGACAGTGTCCCATGTTTATAACGACCTGTGATGATGATGTCCACCCAAGACTTTAAAGCTGAATGAGTGGAAATTTGGTGAGCCTCAAAAACCCAATCAATATTTATGTATTAAAATCTGTCAGAGCTTATTTAACATCAATTATTAGGCTCAAAATGGGCGTCGCATCAGATCCAGTTTGTTTAGTTCCCCTGGGACTCTGGGCTTGTTTATTCATGTATGGGAATGTTCTGGGGTCCAGGACCTCAGGCTATAATGTACTACCTTGTGTTCCTAATTTAAATGGTGTCCCTCTTGGGTCCTGTTCACTTACTAAATGACTCATGGCTATCGCGTAGAGAAAACCAGTCAAATCTGGCTTGCAGGATTAACCGCAATAAAGAAAATCAGCTCAATGATGGAAACTGCCCAACATGTCCTTTGTACACAAGCTTTGAGTACATAAATAGACATGTGGAACCATCATGGGCAAGGTCTGATACCACGGCATCTTGGATGGGCTCGATACCCTTAAGAGACTACTCTCCGACTAGAGTGGGATGTACTGACTGTGGGCATGGGGGAAAGGGTGGGAAGATGCTGACAATATCAGCTGGAAAATTATTTAATACGTGGTACTGTTCTTTAATCAAATGCAATGAGAAAAGAAACGTTTTGATGGGATGAGCTGCAAGTTTATTTGTTTCAGGCACCTTAAAAAATGGCAAATAGGTAGGCAGGGCAGGTTCCTGACACTTACACACACACACACACACACACACACACACACTTGCATCTCAAATGATGATTACTTTTGTCCATGTTAGCTTCAGCCTGTTAGAAGTACAAGTTATCTAAATCTATGCACAGTTAACCGGATCAAGAAACATTTTACAAAAATGTGAGTTTTATGTATTTGTGTAGTTAATGTTCAATGATTGTAACGAAGAATTAACAGAAAAACATGTTTGCAGCCTCACAAACTCCCTAAGTCACAAGATCTAACTAAAGTATTGTGGCGTTGAACGTCACCAGAACATATTTATATGCACTGCAAGGCTACAGAGATATACAAGGAGCTCTTTGACCACAGTTGAATCAGTCACTAGTAGTTTAGACAAAGCTCTATACAGAGGTTCTGCAAACACGTAGTTTTGCACAAACTTCTGCTTATTTAACCATAAAACAGCATGTGCTAAACCAGCAATTCAACTGGTTTTAACACATCTGGTGGAAAAAGGAAAGAGTAGCAGCAGTTTATTACAAAGCAGGAAACATGAGGCTGGCATGGCACATTCAGCTGACTAAGAACAGCAGGAATCTCACAGGAACCTGAAATCAACCCACAGTTGCCTTCTGGTAACCAACCCACACAGACACCCCCTTGTGCCTTTTACTGCATGATATTTACATGAAAGAGCTCAACTGAAAATTAGAAAAGCTAGATTTACATTCTGTAAAAGTCTTATCTGTAATTGGTAAAGTTTGTGTCTACCGCTGTCCTACATTGGGCAAAAGACCCCCATAGCGTTACAAATATGTGCCCAAGACACCAGCAGATAAAGCGGTAGAAATAGGCACAAGTCTCCACCGAAGACTGAAAAAATAGAGGATTTACTTTATTGTCCCATTGTAGAAAATACCACATTGTGTGTGGACATCAGTGAACGGCCTGAAGTCCAGCTTGGACTAGGAGGACGTCTTCTTTTGCCAGCATGTCCTCTTGACACTGAACTGCACTGATCAGTGCAAAGTTTGTATTGTTCAAGTGAACGGACAAGTGGCCGAGTAGATTTACAGGCAGCTTCCTGGACTCGACGTTCATCCAAGTATGACCGTCTCAGGATACAATAAAGGAAATCGCTGAACTGGTTCATCTTTAAAAAAAATCTCATGGAAAACAGATCTCTCAAAATAGCTTGCCAACCTTGACCCTATGTCACAAATGTGTCAAATGTTACAGTGGATGTATCAAAGAAATGCTTTAGTGTTAAATTAGAACAAACTTTCCAAGCCGCACAAAGTTTATAAAGCCTTAAAGGGATATCACTTTTTGTGGTTCTTTATCATACACCACCGCCTTCGTCAAACGATTGCTCTGACAAAGGTGACAGTGGGCGCCGCAACATGTCAACAAAGGTAAACATAAGCTCTATTTGCTCCGTGTATGATGAAGAACCACAAAAAGCGTTATCGGATAGGAAACACAGAACGAACAAATTGTCTTGAAGTCTAGCCAAGTTTAGATAAAGTAACCCAAATATAGCTAATTTTTTAGGGTTCTAGCAAGTAGCCAGTTAGCTTAGCATAAAGGTTGATACATTACAGTCAGACTATTTTATTTAGTTTCTCTTTGTGTTAAGAAGTTCAGAGAACTGCTAAAAAATGACATGAAGTCTACAAAAGTAGACAGTTAGCTGAGCTTGGAATAAAAGGAGAAACTAGGAACCAGGATCAGTTTTTCTAGGGAAACCTCCAATATTGGTACAGGTATCAAGTAGCCACCACATTTATTTCACTTAGATCATTTTTGTGTTGAGATTTCTGATTGTCTGCCTATTTGACGGCTGATTTTATAGATCTAGCTAGCTTAATGCAAAACTGAAACTTTGTGCTAAGCTAACTAGATGCTTATTTTTTGTAACGTAATTTGAGTTTCTGTTTCGTCTCATTTTTACAACCACTTTCAGATGGCTTAGAATTTCTGGAGGTGGAGTAGAGATGTTTCCAAACATTTAAAGGGGAAATATTACAGTACTTGGACTGGGTTAAGAGTTTTTCGGAAATGTTTTTCCTAAAAACACATTTTTAAGAGTGGATTTGTCAAACAGCATTATGGAAAATAATTACATTCAATATCTATCCTGAAATATATAAACACTAAGAAAAATGTGACGTAAATGCGGAGGGTCCTTAACAGCAGACCTTACCTATTCACTAACTCTAAACAAGGACTAAACTTTAAATTATTCAAAAAAAAACTCAAACTCTTGCTTCAAATGGTTAATATCTGGTAATTTTTAGTATTAAGAAAATTAAGAAACCCATTGAAGAGATGGCAATGCCCCTTAAATTATATTGTTTACAAAAAGTTCAGAAGTTTATTTTATGTATTATGTTCATCTGAGTGTATAATGTACACCACTGCACTACACCAGTAATAAATACGGATTTTTACAGAAACAATTACTCTTGGACTGGTTGCATTTCCATTATTTATGAGAATTAAAACTTTCTGGATTTGGGATTTTTGTGTCATCTTTAGCCAATCTTAAAAATCTAAAATATCACCATCATTCATTCACATTGCTAAAATGTCATTTCATAATTAGAATATTATATCATAAAACAAAGAGAGAAATCACTCAAAAGGCCAGAACGACTCACAGTATACAGCGGTGTGTAATGGCTCTGGGCAATGACACAAAGCGGCTTTTGTGTTGCACGTTTCAGTTCTAGTGTCTAAAACGGCGTGCCAGGAACATTAGAGCTGTTTGTTCTACAGGATTCAACATGAGATACGACCGGTACTGCAAGGAATGCTGGTTTTAGGAAAGACCGCATGTGCATCGTTTTGTGCATGTGCACGAGCATTTAAAGAGCGTAACCCCCTCCAGCTCTTTACCTCCTAGTCTGAAGGACACTTGATCAGAGCAGATCCAAAGCTTGGCTCCTCTCTCATCCCTGCTGCTTACAGCCATTTTCTGTTTTTACTGAAGAAGACATGGGCTCTGTGGGCGAAGTCACCTCTGAACTATCTGACAGAAGTTGGGCTGGCTGGGTTGGGGAGCTGCTTGGTGGTGAGACGGGGGACAATGGCCCCAAAGGTGAGTAACGTCTTAAGGAAACTCCCTTCAAGTTAACAGCAAGCTCCAAAACCATTTTTCTAGAAGACTGGCGGTGAAAGGGGGGTACAGAGGCTAGATGAGTGGTGGGCAGCTCAGACTGGGCCGCCCTGGCACGATCACTGCTGTCAGGGGACAGTTCCTCCTGATCAGGACTGTCCGCTGAGTGCAAGGAGAGAGGTGATGCCGGGCTCTCTGGTGTGTAAGCCTGTAGGTCTACAGAGGCTGAGTAGCATGACCTTGGCAAATCAACTTCCTCAACCTGCTCCTGAAGTCTAGCACCCGACACCGCCCTGCCCAGACCCCTCCTCTCCCTCACAGTTTGGTAGCTGTGGAGTCCCAGAGTGACCTGCGCGGGTCCAGTGGGACCCAGCAGCCCGGAATGACCTCTGGCTCGACCTCTGTTGCAAAACAGCCGACTCCAGAGATGTCCTAGACGCCGTCGAGAAGAGGAAGAGGTGGAGCGGCGAGACGAGTGACGCCTGATCTGTCTCTGCATCGCCAAGCGAAGGTTCTGTAACATGGAGGCCTGAATGAAGGGGAGGATGGACACAAAAAACAAACTGGTTTAATGGGACTAAATTTCATCACTGCTGAGAGTGTTAATGACCACAAATCTGTTACCTGAGTGGGATTGTAAACGGGGAAGTCCTCCACTGGGGGGATGAGACCCTGGGCTATCAGCTGACCATATGATGGAGGGGCTTCTCTCTGAACAAAATCAGCTTCCATGCGAGTCATCTGAGTCTCAAAAGATCTGCAAACAAACAAAAAATGCACTGAAAAAATAAAACAATGTGATAAATCTGGGTGCAGTCAGACTGTTGTTAGACATCTGCAGATAACTGCTGCTGATGTTCAGTAGGTCAGCGGTGGAAACAGTAAGAAGAGGGACTCAACCAACTGGAGAGGAGAGAGACTTGGTAGTGACAACTGGTCCCTTCAGTGGGGTTTCTGCTATCTTTGTTCTGATCTAATTTCTGCAAATTTCCTTAATTAAATGAGTCCAAAACAGAGTCTGTCCTCTTTGACCACCGAAATCTCCCAAGCTATCATCCGGCCCTTGATTTTACAGTTTCATTCATAAGCAGTGTGTGTCTAACCTTGGGGTCAAACAGGATGCTGACCTGCCGATGGCCCCCCTAAGTTAAATTTGGTGGTGAGATCCTGTTTGTATCTGTTACGTTGTTTAGAGCAGAGCTCTAGCAGAGGCACATGTAGGTCAGTCATTCATGCTTTCATTACCTCTCAGCAAACTCGCTCCTCATTGGTACTTCTGTCTCAGTCCTGAACCGGCTGCAGGACATTCAGAACGCTGTCGCTAGGTTCTTGACAAACACTAGCTGACACAGTCATATTACTTTGTACTGTTTTATTTAGATTTATTTCTTGTGCTCAATCTGTTTTTAAGGAATGTGCCCTGTGCAGCACTTTGGTCAGCATGGTAGGGTATGGTGTTATTATTGCATGGTATGGTATGGTTATCTTCTTTTTTCTTATTCAACAAATAAGAAAAAAGAAGATAATTATGAATCAACACACAGAACGAATTTACAGAAGAGGTATGGTATGGTATAGTAGGGTACGACATGGTATGGTGTTATTATTGCATGGTATGGTATGGTATGGTGTGGTATGGTATGGTATAGAGCTCCGGACGTCACGTGACTCTCAGAGAGTAGACGCCATGTTGGCAGGCAACAAAGGTAAACAAAATGAATGGGATCGGCTTGGATTTTACTCTATCGGAGTTTACTCCACACTTTAAAACCCAAGAAATCGTTTTATATAGTCAGAACTTAAATAGACTAAACATCTCCGACCCGTACCATGCCCCTGGGATACTTTTTAAAACACCAGAAGCTGTTGGAGCGGACCTCTTACCGGATTTGAGAAGCCCTGACATTTATAATTTATAAAATTAATTAAACAAAAACACAAATAACAGATTTACATGTAAGAAGTTGTGGTGCTGTTTGAATGTATAAACTGTAATGATTTAAATTACATGTTATTTAATAAGCCATAAGGCGTAGGATTCCATAGGAAATTTGAAATCCACCTTATGGAATGTGAGGTTATTTTAAACCAGAAGATTGGAACTTTTTAATGCAGGGATTAGAAAACAGCTTCGTATTCGCTCAGAGACAACAGAAGAGAGAGAGTCAAATTTAAAAGTTAAGAATTTCATTACTAACAAATTAAACTAGACTGACTTTAAACACTACATGTATGGTGTAACTAAGGTGGACGAGAAGGTGAATGGGATGACGTGTGATGTTGCTCAGAACCAGCAAATCCGAAGCTGCGCTTAGTTCTGATGGGAACTGAGAGTGATGTCTTCGCGTTAAGCTTTGGTTAGGAGATTCATAAACACATTCGATGCCATTTGTTGGTCTACATACCCTTCAGGAAGTCCCCGTCTAGATCAGGAGGTGTAAAGGTCCAGCTTGACCTTATGGAGCAGGAGCCGGTAGAAGCAGCTACGGCAGCCGACCACCCGTCTTGAGATACTTCCGGGTCACGACAATTTGTTGGCGTCTGGTGAGACCCAAGCCTGGGTCTTGATGGTTCCGCTTTTATTCTGACAGGAACTGTTGCCGCAGTGGGAACAGCAACAAATTTTCCAGCTTTTCGTTGGTTCTTTTGGCTGAAGAGGAAAGTTACGGATTGGCCACTCCGACACTTTCTCTAGAACGCTTTGAACTGGCGTTAAAGATGACGTGGCATAGTTTTATACTTTGGATGTTTTGGTTTATGGTCGAATGAAAAATTGACAGAGTTATCAAACACCATCAAAACCACGCTTCCGTCAGATCTGTCAGATTCTGATTGGATCAGTGAAAGTAATGTGTCATGTCTTTTAATGCTACGTGAAATCAGTCCTGTTGGAACATTTAAAGTCATAATACCTTTATATTCTATAGGATTATAATAAAGTAATTAATATTTTTGATTTCACAGATCGGTCACATCTTATTTATTGACTAACACTTTGTATGATTAGCTTATTAAAATATAGTTCTTTGATTAATTAAAAGAAAAGAGTCCATTCTTCATTTTTCTGTTGAGCTGAAAATAAACAGGTTAGAAGCAAATGCATGAGACCTTGAGACCATATCTCATGCAGACTGTGTCAGAGAAGGGGGAAAACAGTCATTCTGTTCATTCTGTTTCATTCTGTTACAAAACTGAACGCCGAGAGAAATCACTAGTCTGATTTTTTTCCGTGAATAAAAGAAATATGTCAGGCAGGAGCGTTTCAAGATCTGTCTGAGATCTGTCTCGGTGAGACAGATAATAGCAATCCAAAGTGCTTTTTATGTGTGATCTGACAATTGACCAATCATTGCTTAAAAATTAAATACAGCTTAGCCGGTTAATTGCTGTGATCATAAAACACGGAAACGGCAGCACGCAGAAATCACGAGGCAACGTTTTACGTGTTGTTTACTTGTTGCTATGAGTAATAAGACAGAAAAAGCCACGCCAAAATAAGTTTAGGAAGCCCACTAAGAATCGTAATAAAAGCATTTTAAAATAAATACCATATACAGTTGAGAAACGTTGGTTTAAGTACCTGATATGAAGTGGTCACTGCATAAGCAAAAACCTTTACTCTCGGGATCCCACAGCTTCATTTTAGCCTGGAGACTAGCACGTTTCATTACGATGATCCAACGTTTGCGGCGTTCCGGATCTTAGGGAATCCTGTAGAAGGCTCTTCCCTTATCTCGTCCGTGTCTGTTCTGGCATCCTGGGGCATAACAGGAATCTACCATATTTCCCGTTTGATTGAGTTATCTGACAATAACAAGCAGCCTAGCTGCGGGCTTCTGCCTGCCAAGATGGCGCCGTTTCGATTTGAGCTGTTGCATGCCGGGAGAAGTGACGTCAACTCCCGGAGCTCTATGGTATGGTATGGTACGGTACGGTAGGGTACGATATGGTATGGTGTTATGGTATGGTATGGTATGGTGTTGTTATGGCATGATCTGTTTTGATTTTGGTGAATTTTGGGAATAATTTACTTCCTGGTTGCTGTTATGCTGTGTAATGGAATGAAATGACTTTCCAAATGACTTTCCAAATGATTTTCCACCTAAGTCATTTTCCCCCTTTCCTCAGCAAGAACTAATCTGCATGAGATATTGTTCAAGATCTCATACATCTGCTTCTAAATTGTTTTCCTTTACAGCCCAACAGAAGAATGAAGACAAAGGACTCTTTCTTTTTAATAAATCAAAGAACTCTATTTTTAATAAGCTAATCAAACAAAGTGTTAGTCAATGATAAAATGTGAACCAATTTGTGAAATGAAAATATTAATTACTTGACATTATAATCCTACAGAATATAATAAGTAATATAACTAAATGTTTCCACTAGAGACTGATCACACGTAGCATTAAGACATGACACATTGATTTTACTGATCCAATCAGAATCTGCCAGATCTGACGGAGGCGTGGTTTTGGTGGTGCTTGGTAAATCTGTCTTTTCATTCGACCATAAACCAAAACATCCGAAGTATAAAACTATGCCCACGTCATCTTTAATGCTAGTTCAAAGTGTTCTAGAGAAGTTGTCGGAGTGGCCAATCCGTAACTTTCCTTTTCAGCCGAAAGAACCAATGACAAGCTGGATAAAATCAGTTGCATTTTACCAACCAAGCAACGGTTCCTTTCAGAATAAAAGCTGAACTCAATGACCCTCCGGGTCCATCTGACACTGTCAACCAACTGTCGCTTTTTACCTGGAGACAATCCAAAGACTATTCTGTCGTACTGCTGACGCTGTTTCATTGGCTCCGGTACCGAAAGAGGGGTTCAAGGACCTGGCATTCTGGATCTGTACAGAGGTCTCATTCTAAGGGTATATGTGGAGCGACAAAATGGCGTCTTATGTGTTCATGAATCTCCAAATCAAAGCTTAGAGCGAAGATATCACCTTCACTCCCATCAGAACTAACCGTTTCTCCAGATTTGCTGGTTCTGAACAACATTCCACACTACACCATTCTCCGTCTCAATTCACCTTAGTTACACCATACATTTAGTGTTTAAGTTAGTCTAGTTTTAATTTGTTTAGTAATAAATCTTTAACCTTTTAAAACTTGACTCTCTTTCTTTTGTCTCTGAGTTAATACGAAGTTGTTACATAATCCCTGCAATAAAAAGTTCCAATCTTCTGGTTAAAAGTACCCAAAGATCCATAAGATTGATTTCATATTTATTATGGAATCTCATGTCTTACGGTTCATTAAATAGATGTAAATTAAATTCTTACAGCTGCTATCTTCTGTCTGTCTGTCGACCCTCACCTGTACTCTCTGTTCCTGAGCGAATGGAGTTTGAGGGCGCAGCCGAGGGCGATGACCAGCAGGAGGCTGCACACCAGACTGCCAATCAGCGCTGCTGTGATTACCTTCCTGGGCACCGGGGCCAGGCAGTTCCTCTCATCGCTCCCATCTAGGCAGTCCTCTTGGCCATCACACCGCCACGTCTCAAAGATGCACAAGTTAGTTCCACAGTGGAAGTTTCCGGGTTGGCAGTCAAAACAGTTCTTCTCGTCTGACCCATCCGGGCACCTCTTCTGATTGTTGCAACGCTCGGATGCTGGATAGCACGCTCCGGTTGCTCCTTCACATGGGAACTCTCCATTGGGGCAAACTGAGCACGCCTCCTCATCCCGACCTGACGGGCAGTGCCAGTAGCCGTCACAACGCTGATGCTCAGAGTAGCAGCCCTGATCACTGCCACAGGGACGCTCACCAGGAAAGCAGTAACCTTTGACCTGCGTGGAGAAAGTAGGAATAAGTCACAAAATAGGTCTGATAACTTCAAACACTTCTAAATAGAAAAAGGAAATTTGTAGTTTAACTGTTTCTAGCATGAAGACTCAGACATCAAGCTGTGATTAGGGATGTACAGATGTGTAAATTACTTACACTGCTGTTTTGGCCGATAACTGAAATTTACTGAAATCACATATATTTTATACAGTGATAGAAATATCCAACGAGTTACTAACAGAATTTGTTTTTTTAGTAACATGTAATGTAATGAATTACTTCATCCATTGTTACAATGCTGTTTCTGTTACTCATAAGATAACGCAGCATGGGTGCAGCTAGGTGTGTTGAAGCTGTTCTCACCCGACCGGGAGCTAAAGGGGTATGTTGGTAGGGTTGGATCCTGTGACGGAGGCATGTGGTGGCCAGGGGTGGCCCTGGCTACCACTAATGTGAGTCCTGGCCACCCTATTGGTCTTTCAAAGCAGGGGAGGTTCTAGACCAAATTTTCCAGGGGGGCCACAGTGGGGCCAGTATTTTTTCATGGGGGCGCAAGAAAAAAAAGGGAATAATTAGGGCAATATCAAAATTAGTTTTTATCTCCGCCATATGACTAATTTTGTGCTTGTGCACAATTTTACCACAGGAAATTCCTAGTAATGTGAAACTACTCACTTTTTTGTTCTCTTCTTTTTCATATCTATCTTTACTATATTTTGGGGATCAAATTTATCAAAAATGTTCCTTTACTTTTTTCATCTATGACCTTTTACAGCTGTATTTTACTAAAATAAGATTCAAATAAATTCATAATAAAAGACAATGAACAAGTAAACTATTACAGCGAATGCAGTAATGGTTTACTTGTGAAAGTAAAACTGGCATGTTTTTATGGTACTCAGATAACAATTCTGAATGCTTCACTGCAACATGAGACTTGAGAAAAAAATAATTCTAGTTGATTATTATAGTTTGTGACTTTATTTGAAGATTACATGTACTGTACATATGAAAAATAAACATTCAAACAAATTAAATATGTGCACAATACAATTTCTTAGTGCAGTGCTTTTTGTAGTCAACACACACACACACACACACACACACACACACACACACACACACACACACACACACACACACACACACACACACACACACACACACAGACAGAACAGCATTATATAAAGCTGTAACAAAAGTACTTTGCATGTACTGAAAAACCCCCTCCTCTCTCAGTTGCTTTTTTCCAGTTCCTAAATCCACATGGTGAGTCAAACACACTTCCTGCGCTACTTGGTGGGCTAAAATGTCTTCATGCATGACAATAAGTAGAGTCCATAGTAACAGAATATTCAACCCAAGGATGACTTTCATACCAGCTTGGCTGAAAGCTGCACCTTCTGTCTCCTATTAATGTCACTGGAAATGTCCTCAAATGAGGCTGAGTAGGTGGGTCATCCTTGCACTTGCTGATATCTGAAAGAAAATAAATGTTAGCATGAGGATAAAAGTCATAATTAGTTAATTCAGAGTCTTATTTTATTTATTATCTATCTATCTATTTTATTTATCTATCTATTAAATCTAAACAGAAATTTTGGTCCAGAGTCAGCATGCCTCAAATGCATTTTACACACAATATGAGCTGCAATCACAGAGGGGTTGTTGAACACCCACAAACCTGATGGTAGTGTACACGGTGCACATGACAGAAGATGTCCCTCTTTCTGCTCCTCACTCTCTCCCTCACAGCCTACATCTTCCTCCTCACTCTCAAGTGGACAGCCTCTGACCTCTCTGGTTCCTCTCCAACCAACTCCTCCTTCTCTCTTTCATCCTGCTTCTCAGCTCCCTTGTGACTTTCATCCTCTCTCTGGCTATGCTGTTCTTTATAAACAGCGGTAAAAAAGGACAAAATGTCCCTTTTTCTTTTCATGGCCGCTGATGCTTCCAGTCAGTGCTGTGAGAAAGTCATAGATACAGTAAATGAATACTGTGATCTAATCTCAACGTGTCTAAGGCTTAAAATGCAGCAACTTCATTTTTATTTTACAGTTAATGTTACAAAGGAAAAACAAATCAGTATTAACTGTGGATAGACTCAGTTAGGAACTTAAAAGTAAATGACAGAAACGCGCGACTACGATCAAAACACTGATGTCAGGAAAATAAACTGTATTGCTTACCTTCGTCTCTTAGCGTCTTTTCCGTTAGTCGTCCTCAAGAATTTCTTTGGGTCCCATTTGAAATATTTTTAATCTTTTATTCAAAAATCCACCGGGTAAACAGTTCTGTCCACAGAGTGTGCTGCGCTCTAAAGGCTCCGTGTGAAATGCTGCAGCGCATTAGTTCCCATCTCCGAGGCAGCGCGGGGGGGGGAATCCGATCTCTTCAGCACAGGGGCCATAACAGGGGCCAGGGCCGGTTCTATAGGGGCCCAGGCCCCTGTGGGCCCCTGTTTAAAACCGCCAATGTTTCCAAGCACTGCATCAAATGTGTCACTGTTTTTTTTCACCCAAGCTAAATTATTCATGCAGTGCAACAGAGCGGTCGTGGCTAGCTGCGCACACGTTTTGGTGTTGTCAAACATCCAGTCTGGTGGACCTGTCCAGACACTACACATTCAAATAAAGGTAAGCTATAACAGAGGAGAAATAGTGTTTGTACACTGGTTATATTAGTTGTCTCACCCATGAGTGTGTGTTTATGTGTCGTTGTTTAGGACTCACAGCAAAAGCAACAAGAACAGAAGTTAGCAGTAGCTAACATTAGCTAACATTTTCCGCCACATTGCTAGCCGATTTTCACGTAGCTTCTTTCTGTTGTTTTCACTCATCAGCCACAGGCTAGCTTGCTGCTTTCTCCCTCACAATGAGCTGGGTGACAGGCTGTGCTCTAGTCTGATGAACACTGCCACTGACTTGGTTACAGTATTAACTTGTGTCCACAGAGTGGAACGCTGAACTGTATGGAACTGCACGTTGCTACCAGGCATTGTATGGTCACTACCATGGGGGAACGAATGCAGCTCCTCCCTTTCCCTAAAGTGTCAAAACTGCCAGAGATGTTGTGGGCTGCTGGGAGGCTCCACTGAAACGCAGGTCACTGGATGCTGTTGTGAAAATGTAAAATGTTTCTCTTTGAACATCTTAGGTGTGTTCTTGCTGTGTCTTTCTAAATCCATGCTTTCGTTCTTTTTTAAACACAGAAACAGTTTTGTTTACCTGTTTGTAGCTACAGTTTCGCCGACAGCTGCCGGCTTCTTCAGGCTGACGCTGATGGTGGCGCGTCACTTCCTTCTCCGTTTATCTGCGGGCAGCAGAGGACGTTGTCGGAGAAGGAAGTGACGCGCCACCATCAGCGTCAGCCTGAAGAAGCCGGCAGCTGTCGGCGAAACTGTAGCTACAAACAGGTAAACAAAACTGTTTCTGTGTTTAAAAAAGAACGAAAGCATGGATTTACAAAGACACAGCAAGAACACACCTAAGATGTTCAAAGAGAAATACGGACAACAAGGAACGAAGGACTTCCGCCATTTGGAGCGATTACACCAGAAACGCGCACGTCTAAGAAACCACCTTCGCTTCTGTTTAAGATGCCGGGACGAAAACATCACACCCACAAGCCTACAGCTGAAAACATCGATCCGGACCAAGACAGCACAAAATATAATAGAAAGAGCACAGAGAGCACTGCTCAAGGAGAGGATAAGGAACGTCATAACCAAACAGAGGCGTGTGGAGGACGAACTGGAAAGAGGACACCTGGACTTGAAAAGGAATTACAAACTTGATAAACAAATGGAAGAACTAATTAAAGGACACATGATGGAAAAACAGGAAAAAGAGTTCATAAAAGTAAAAGAAAGACACATAAAGAAGTTAAACAGACTCATAAACAAGAAAAAGAGGGGAGAAATACAAGGCGACTCCACACCAAACTCATGGGTATGTAACATTTCACAATACAAACTAACAGAAGCAGAAGAGAGCATATTAAAGAAATGTTTAAACTTTGCAGTCACACCAAAAGAAATACCATATGATGAATTTATTGTAGCAACAGAACTAGCATGTCAACAGATCACAGATGAGGGAAAGAAAGCAGAACTCAGAAATAACATAGTTGGGATATTAAAAAACAGCCAAATTCAACACAGCAATATTACAAAAGAAGAACAATCAGCCATGACAGCCTTATCCAAAAATGAACAGATAATTATTCTACCGGCAGATAAAGGAAGAACCACAGTAGTTATGGACAGAGAAAAATATAAACAACAGATGAAACACATGCTAGAGGACAAAAATACATATGAAATACTTAAAAAAGATCCAACAGAAAACATTAAGAAAAACATGAAAAAATTACTGAAGCCACTGCACGAAAAAGGCAAAATAACAGAAAAAATGTACAAACACTGGATTCCTACAGCAAACATAACACCAAGAATATATGGAACGCCAAAAATACATAAACAAAACACCCCACTTAGACCAATAGTTGACAGCATAGGTACACCAACATACAACATGGCAAAAGATATCAGCAGAATCATCAGCCCGTTATTAGGAAATACAGACCAACACTGCAAAAATAGTATAGAATTGGCAAAAGAACTAAAGGAAATTACAATAGAAGACAACGACATACTCATCTCACATGACGTCACATCTCTGTTCACAAAAACACCAACCCAAAAAACCATAGACATAGTAGTTAACAGAATCAGACAGGATAAAACTTTACACAAAAGAACAAACCTCACAGCAGACGACATAGCACAACTGATAGCACTGGTTGCTAACTCCACTTACTTCACATACGATAACACAATATACAAACAACTGGAAGGCTTCGCCATGGGTAACCCGTTATCAGCCACCCTGTGCGAGTTTTTCATGGAAGACCTGGAACAAAAAGCCATAGCCACCGCCCCCCCAAACTGCAAAATAAAACTATGGAAACGCTACGTAGACGACATACTGGAAATCATACC